GGGGTTTGGGGGGGGGGGGGGCGTTATTTATAGATAAAAACAAGTCTATTTTTTTGGTATTTGTTGGTCACGATACATCTTTTTTTATTAATACGTATACGCTATATATCTACTTTTTGTGTGTATATTTCTTTACGTTTTATATCATTGACGTTTGTAGGAGTTTAGTGTTTGCCGATCCGAGTAGTAAGTACTAGCCCTAGGTCTGATATTCCGACCATTTCTTTTATGGGTAAAATAATAGAAATGACCCGTTTTGGTAAAGAAAAAAATCAGATAATTATTCAGAATATTTGAATTATATGTTTGGATCATTTTTGTTTATAATTATTTATTAATTCTTAAACAGTTTAAATCTACTACAAGTTTTTTTCAAAAAAATCTAAATTATCCAAATTTAATAACAATTTTTAATAATATTATTATTATATAATATTATCTTCAGTTATAATTTGGATATTGATTTTAGTTATGTAATTTATCATTTGGATGATAATTTAAACTATTCGGTCTAAAACCCTTATCCAACCTTTATATGCACTTACCCAACTTTTTATTTATATTTAGTTTTAAAGTGTGTACCAATAACCTATTTTATGCTATTTGAGTTTAGATTTTGCTAACGTAATTAGTGGATTTTTACACAGAGAGATTTTAAAGTGCAGATTAATTTCTACAAAACAATAATTTACCGTTCGTATTAAAGTCGGATGGCTGTTACCAAGTATTAAAAACGATTATTATATCGAGTAATAATCTTCGAATATATTGGAGAAGGCCGTGAGAGTGAAAGGAATTTGAGTCAGACGACACTTTAGGTTCAAAATGACAAACGAATCGACGCTAACCACAATATATTCCATAAACGTATCCATTTTTAACATAAAGTATAAAGTATATGTCAAATTTATATTTAAATTTTATCCTATTTTTCATTTCGCGCATTTCCGCTTTTCGTTTTTCAACTTTACATAATAAAGAAGCTTTTTAACTCTTTTTTGTGTTCAAACTTAACTTTTAATTTTTTTTTATTTTATTGTTGTGGCTCTGCCTGTTTTTAGTCACGTTTCTTACTATTGTTGCAATTTTTGATTAGTCAGACTATTCTTCTCAGAGATACGATACTCATTTTTCTGGAAAACATCAAAATTCTGTTAGTATCGTGATATTCACCACGTGGGTCAACTTCAAGTAAGTGTTTATTAACATGAAAGTCACGATGAACAAATAGAATCTATAAGGTTTGAATACATTATAGGTGATATGTTGTGTTATTTGCAATGCGTTTCAAATGTAAAAGTGAGGGAATATTGGCGCGTACAGTGTTAGTGTGGAATAAAACGATGCGCCAAGATATATGCATTGGAAAAGGAACGATTAACCTTTAGAGTAGTCAAATATCGTCCAAATTCATTACATCTTGGCTCTCTATGAAACTAGCAAACATTAAACACATGAAACAGCTTGCATTTTCAGTCCCGTCTCAATCAGAATATTAAATTAATGATCATAGTAGTAAACTATGGATATGTAATTGGAATCCGTTCCAACTTCCAAGTTAATTATATATAGGTTATTAGATTGCATGAATTGTTTAGCGTCCGCGGGGTATGAAGAATTTCATACAAGTTAAAACTACTGGGCAGCAAAATACAACAATAGATTTGAAACAAAAATTGATACAATCGTAGATATCCTAGTAAAACTGAATTTTAGTCAGAACTAACGAAGAAATTAAGAAGAAATTAACCAAACAGATTCAACCATAGCGATTACGGTTCAAAGAAACAAAGAAACAAAGTTTGCTATAAAAGAGGGAAACGTGTGGAGGAAGGTGGTAAGATTTGTCATGAAACTTCCAGATTACCTTATATGACTAACTACACGAATGTAATGCAGATATTGACAGAAATTAACCCCCCAAATATAAAAATAAAAATATAAGAAAAAAATAAGGAAAAATTAAATTTTCTTAAGAAATATATAAATAAATTGTGATAATTTTTAAATAGATTTAGATATATTGCTAGATTAGAACTTAAAATTTAAAGAAACATCAAATATAGTTATTAATTTTTTTAAAAAAATTAAATCATATATATAGTTAATTTTTTTTGGAACAAAGTCTAAAATTTATTTAAGACGGCCCTGGAAGTCAGACATTTACTCATTCAACCCCCTAGAATTACAAACTCTCAATCCCTCCCTTGGGTTTATTACTAAGATCACAACGGGCCGGAGGATAGCTAAGGATGGGAGGTGAAAAAGGTGAAGAATGGCCGGAATGAGGCGATTGGAATCTCGTGGCCGTTCCAATTCGTCTAGAGGTCGAACTGTGATGATGTACTGGTAGCAAATCGGCGAGAATTCAGAATGCCGGCGCAGGTTCGGTATCGGCACGTCGCAATCCGGTTTCCACACAAATTTATAAGGCCATGAGACACCGATCTTGTTACTGTTGATGCCACGCACCCGTTTCCGGCCAGATATTCCCTTCTAACGGTCATCCCTTGCTTTACGCTCCACCGTTTTGATATTCGTTATGAAGCGAAGTGAGGGGTTGTTGGCTTGCAATTCGAGGGGATTATATATATGCGTAAATGTCTAGTTCCTTAACATCTTCCGGGGCAGGTAGATTTTGAATGAAATGTGATTCGAAAATTTGTGTTGGATCCATTTTTTGTTTTCTCTGAGTGTAAAATGTATACAATATGTGAGAATATGAGCTATTGATCAGCCCTTTTATAGCACGTAAATCTTCATATGCATTAGTTAGTAATCAACAGTCAATAGTTTACCCTTTACATGCATTACTATACAACAGTCTAAGAACAACATTATTGCAAGTTTCTTGTGATTGTTTCTTAATACACATATATGTGTATGTATATATTATATATGCGTATATAATATATATATACACATATATGTGTATTAAGAAACTTACAATAATCATGGCCTAACAGTCTACATATTTTGCAACAAGCAATCCATTGGTTTTAGATTAATAGTTTATTTATTTATTTAAGCACGATCGCCTTTTTGGCTTCTAAAACCTTTTTTGGGCAACTATTTAAATCCAACGATGATATTTCTATAATGTATGTTTTGTCGTTTATTCAGGGAAATAGAAAGCACATGGTTGGTGGAATTGAAGAGAACCGAATCATAAAGTGTCGATTTCAATCGCTCAATTCGATCCACCCGTCCTACCCGCTCCGTAGAGGGTTAAGTCATTTTTTTGACTCAAAATTTTGACCCGCCTAACCCTTAATTTTTTTATAAACTTTGAAAGAGAATTAACCCACTAATGAAATTCATTAATATATAGCTTTTAGACGCAAATAAAAATCTTAATTGTTATTAATAAAAGATTAAATTTATTCATAAAATTAAGGGTAATTTAGAAAAATATAAATCATTTGATCTTGTTTTAATAGTATTGACCACTTCAAATTTTTATTGGGTTTATGTGGCTTCAAAAAACTTCAAATGTTGGCCTATTAGAAAGGAACAAAAATGGCCTAATGCCGGAAGGCCCAAGTATCAAAACAGTTACGTTAAAACGACGCCGTACATCTAACTGCAAGTTTAAAAAAAAAACAAAAGAAGGAAACAAAAAGCGTCTCTCTGGCTTTGTTTGCGTGCGTCAATTTATAGAAGCAATCGCTTGAAAATCTCTGAGCTCTCTCCTCCTCCGGCAACCACCTCCGCTTATCTCCGGTACTTTCACCTATCTCCTTCTCCGCATCCGTCAACCTATTATACCATTTGCTATTTCGCCATCATGTTATCTCGATAAGATTCGGTAGAGAGGTCTACGATCATATCTTAGATTCTCGATTAGGATTTTGAGCGAGAGATCTCGATTCGTTGATTGTTGTTGAACATTGAACTGTGTGATTCGTCTCGGTCTTAATATGTGGATCGAAAATATCTTCGTTTAACATTGATTGATGATTTTAGATTGTTCTTGCGTGAATTGTTTGATTCAAATTGCTACTTCAGATCTGGAGAGATTCTCAATGTCTATGGATCTGATTGCGATTGAGAATTTGTTTTACTCTATTGCGTTCAAGTAAAGTGTAGTCGCTTGCCTGAGTCAGATTTTCGGATCCGGATCCGGATCCGAAAAAGCATCTAATGAGTAATGAGCACTGAACATTTGTCAATTTAATGGTCAGCTCTCCGTTTAGAGCTTTCTTAGTGATGATGATTCGTTGATTAACCATTTCACATGGATGTTACTGTTTCATATACTTGAAAGATTACACTAAGTAGAGTTGTGTACAATGGTCTCTCGTGTTTGAAATAGGGTTGAATGGGGAAAATCAAGAAAGTGAAACGTAGGGGTCACGTTACTGCTCCTTATGCATCACCACCGTCTTGTTGCAAGAAAGAATGGTCTGGCTCGACCTGCCCTGTATGTTTAGAGTCTCCACACAACGCTGTTCTCCTCCTGTGTTCTTCCCATCACAGAGGATGCCGTCCTTACATGTGCGCCACAAGCACCCGTTTCGCCAACTGCCTTGACCAATACAGGAAATCACACCGCAATGAAAACTCGGCTCTTTTGTGTCCGCTGTGTAGAGGTCAGGTGAAAGGCTGGACCGTTGTGGAAGACGCACGGGTGTATTTTAACTCTAAGAGAAGGACTTGCATGCAAGAAAACTGTTCTTTTTTGGGGAATTTTAGAAAGCTAAAGAAACATTTGAAGGAGAAACACCCACATGCTTGTCCTAGAGCCATTGATCCAGCTCTTGAAACGAAATGGAAGAGGCTTGAGAGGGAAAGAGACAGAAGAGACGTGATCAGCACGATAATGTCGTCGACCCCAGGTGCTGTTGTGTTGGGAGATTATGTCATAGAGCCGCGTGGTGGAGCTGTTTTTGATGAAGACGACGACGAAGAAGATTACAGCTCAGATGATTCTTTAAGCAACAACGGCGTATTGAATCTAGAGTCATGGCAAGGTCAAAACCGTCATATTAGGTTTATAGATATGGATGCAAGCGACTTTGCATCATCTTCACGGTCCCCTGCTCCTCCAAGACGTTCATAGAGGTCGGTAACTTTTAACTTAACCGAGACACTTTCTCTCTAGCATTACGGATTGACTTCAAAACTGCTGAGCAGTATAAGAGGCTAACGTGACTAGGCCATACAAGAAATTGAAAATAAAACTCGTAGTTGTTTTTAAAATTTATTTTCATGTAAATTATGTATTTTCTGTAATTGTATTCTTGTTTCTGCATTGTTGTAATCTTAATAAGGCTCTTATGCATTCTTTTTATTTCATGTGTCTATCAGTCTATGTATTGATTTGATTTTCATCTTCTTCAAGTTCTGGAAGAAAGATAAAAAAAGGTTATGTGGAAGAAAAAAACGTAGTAATATTTCCTCACTGCTAAATTTTGGACAACAGTCTGTTTCTTGATTTGTCTTCACGAGTCTCTTCTACGTCGTACACAGCCGCGTGATAACCCTCCGACCACATTTTTAAGCTTTTTCTTCATTCATAAACCAGAAAACAAGATAAAATTAAATTCAGTTAAAAACAAGTAGTGTAAGGAAAACATGAATATGAACATTAGTAGTACCCAAAGATCTGAACTGTATGCTTTGCTCTTCGCTTTTCCCTCTTCTTCATCTGGAACAAACTCTCTGTATTTCCACGTCCTGTTTTTCCGACGAAATGGCCGGAGAAACTGTAACCGCAACTTACTCATCATTTTCCTTATCCACCTTCGTTTCTTCTTCTGCCATTTCAATAACCACAAACAGAATTCAAAAGGTAAAATTACTTAACATCTGATTTTAGCTAGTTTTAAACTACAATAATGTTTTACTCTAGTTTTAAGAGCCAAGAGGTTTTGAACTTTACATAAATCAGATTATACAGAGTTCAAGACTCATTGCTTACTTCCTCTTACTAATTACGTAACTATAAACCCAAGTCAGTAAATAGTAGCTTCCTTTCATAATTCATGGCCCATATACGGTCCATATTTATATTTTAAAAGTCCATAATGTTAGTGAAATAACAGAGTAACGAAAATCAGTAAAACGTTACCTTCGGGTTCGGCCGTTCAGGTATGTTGTCACTCTCCACGTCTACTACCCCGTCGCGTTTCGAATCTCCGGCGATACTTTCAGCTCTCAGCTGACGAATATAAGCTAAAAGACTCGCTCTCCGATCATTTCCACGCTTCCACGTCCCTTCATTTCTCCGAAACGATCGAGACGATCGAACTGTCGTCGTGCGACGATCAACGTAAACGGTAATGATCACACCGTGCATAATCCTTGGATTATCATCTCCCATTTTAAGTTTTGTTTTGTTTAAGAAGTTGGCTTCTTCATCTTGAAACGGGGGTTTTGCTGTTTATTAGGAGGAAACACAAATCAGGCAACAGACAAATCTCTTTCTTAATCTGAATCACACGTGTTAACATCTCATGCGGTTTTTCATTGCAAGTCTTAACTACTCCACGGTCAACGCTCTAAAATGCTGACTCATTAATTAATTTTTATTAGACATGGTGACCACTAACATGGGTTTAGTAGTGGGCTTATACAAACAAATATCATATTGCATTATATACATTGGGCCAAAGATAATTTTTCACCTAAGAAACCAAATCATTATGGTGATTGTTAATCATTTGCCTGATGACGAAAATTTCAATTTGTTTTGATTTACTATAGTTTAAGACACCATACAAATAAAGAGGCTCAAATATTATTTATATGCTGACAAGAATCTCACATTTATCCATTACTAAGAGGAAAATTATAATAACTTGGATTACCAATAACAATGTTGAAAAACTGTATGATTATTATAAGAACTACATCTTTATGGTTAAGTAATAAGCCAACAAAATGTAATCCGTTGGACCAGTGCTTTATGATATGCTTTTCAAAACCATCAGGAGTTAATTTCAATTCTTTTACTTAAAGGTAAGTACTTTAACTTGATAGTGCTTTAGTTGATTATTTAATAAATGATGATAATTAGTGTGGCATGTTTCCACTTCACAGTCTTCAGTCTTAACAATAACAAGATTCTAAAATGCAATAAAGAAGAGGGGAAAGAGAAAGCAGACGGAAAAAGGGTATATCCAGGGGAGGCCATATGCGTTAATATGACCTTTGACATTGCGAAATGTGAATGTTATGTAGCTAAGCTTTCTCAGATCTGCCCTGATAATTTTCATGCAGAAGTTAAATTATTTTTTTACAATATTTACTAGTTTGTTTTCATTTTTTAAACTTGATGCATCTAGGCAGTGTTAACCTTTCTGAACATTTTTAAAACTTTAACGGAAAACTTAGGGCGTTCCAAACAAGTTTTGTTGTGACTGCACCATTGCATATTAAGTGTTAACCTTTATTTTTCACTAACATTTTTACTGTTTTTTGTGGTGCATACTAACTACACATTGTTTCAGTCGCCAAGGCCGTTGTTATCTTATTTACTACTATATAAAATGATGGTTGGAAAGGTTAATTAGTATACGAAAATCTGCGATTACTTCTTGCAAAATGTTTGTCTAAATTGAACTTTATGAATTTGGATCTTCCATTATATGAAAGATTCTTAAATAACTAAAAAAGGAAATTGAACTGTTTTTATTTTAAATCCCAGAATATTACTTTTTCTTTCTTATATATTATTACAAGCTATAACTTTTATCATCAGTTTTATTTGACATAATTACTGTATATAACATCTGATTTATATTCTTGCAAACTTTCAATTGGAAATTAGCTCCGAGTTAAAATTCAAAATTTGTTTGACGTAAGTTCAATACTACAGGCGTCCAACTTTACAAGTAGCATGTCTTTAAACAAAAAGAAATTGAATTAGACTATAAACAGTAAAAGTTTCCAATTATACCAATATGGCAAATATTATGAGTCAAAATATATAGCCCCTATGTGTTTGGTGTCAAGTGGTGATTTATATTATCATGTGGTACGAGCAACAATTAGGATATAGTAATGAACATAGTGGAACAATAATTGTCTCGTTACACCGGTTATATGTTTTATGAAATCAAATGTTCTTCTTTAATTTAGCCAAAAAATATGGGGGTTAAAATTATGATATTTGCTAATTGAACTCATAATCGCCAGGATAATTATGTTTGACGGTAAGTCAATTAAACACACGTACGTTTGGGATACATATATATTAGACTACTGCATGGTGGCGAGTATTGGGTGTACAAGAGTGAAGAGAAAGACGACTCAATTCATACAAAAATGGATTAGTTTCATCTCGAATTAATGTTTCATGAACATGAATTATATAATAGTTTGTAGTAAAAAAAACATTTATAGTTTTGTTTTAATAAAATACTAAAACTTTATTCCTTGATCTTTTACTATTTGGCTTCAACTATATCATGTAAACCGTATATTACTTTTTTTCCAAATGGAGTATCTTGTTTTTTTCTCTATTATGTTTTTTTTTTTAAATTGCAAGATAACACATATCTTTGTTTTTCTTACCTAGGGTTACATTCTTATATAGGTACACAGTAAGATATGGATTGGAAATATATATTGTACATGTTTTTTTTTCTGAAAAAGGGCATTGTAGTACATGTTAATGTGATTTTTTTTCCTATATGAAAAAAAAAACAAACGGAGAATGAATAAATGTGAACGCAGTGAAAGTGGCTCAAAGGGTCACGAAAGGGTCGATGTCTCCCTACCGCATCACTCCCCCGATTGCCTCCTCTTTTTTAATATACAACACAATTCTTATTTTTGTCAGTAGTTAAATTAATTTTGTCAGTAGTTAAATTAATTTAAAAAAATCCTAAATGGTCAAACATAAATATAATGCCAGTGGAATGTAACACATCTAAATTGTAAAACATCGATTTGATATTACATGTACAGACAGGGCCGGTCCAACTTTTAGAAAAAATGTGTAGTGCCTTATTCTAAAATACAAATTTTGTGCCTTCGTTTTACATATAATTTTTTATAATGCCCTTATATATAATGATAATTCTGTAAAAAAATGGGATGTCCTAAGCGGTCGGTTCTTTTGCTTGTGCCTCGGACCCGGCCTGTGTACAGTGAGCCGAACTCCATATCATTTAGTGGTTTGTTATTACCCTAAAATCTTGTATGTTGGCGCTAACCTATGTTGCCGATGTCAATTTAAAAATGAAAAAGCGATGTTGCGTATATTGCGTGAAAAAATCAAGATGTTATGAAATTGTATAATGATCTGTGGTTCATCATAGTTATGGATCATATGTTTAGCCAGGGTTGTAATGCTGTCGAGTACAAGATATTAAGCTAATTACGGTGATAGGTTTTAGTTTTGTGTGTGTGTTCGCACGCGCAATTGCGGCTATATTTCGTTTACGTTAGCATAGTCTAGAATTTACAAAAATGTGTTTTCATGTTATTGGTAACTAGTTTAGATATCTGCATTGTATGTTTCAATTTAATAAAGAAATAAGAAATTTCAATTCAATACGTATATACGTAAATACGATAGTTTAAAAAGTACGTATTAGTTTGGTAACAGCTAAACAACTAATTGATAGACTTTGAGTATTATATATGTATCATTTAAAACTATAGAATCCAAATGTTAACATAGCATATGACTGATAGTACATAGTACATCGTATATTCTAATTCAAACAATACAATACATATATATATATATATATATATATCATACTTTTACATATCAATTTTGATGCTTTATTCTAATGTTTCTTGTAGCTACTTATTAATTCTAGTTAATGGTTTATTCTCTCTTTCTTCTTTGTATATTCTGATAAATAGAATATAAAGACGACCTACCAGAAATTAATATTTATGTACAGTAATGATAACACATAATCATTTTATTTTAGCTATGGCTCTTTGTTGGAAAACTCTATAAGACGTATCTAATGTGCTGCAATACTAGACTACCAGTTAATCATTATGTTTCAAATAATTAGTGATATGTTAGAAACTTTGTGGATTAACTTATATATTTTCCATGCAGTTTTTGTTAGGGAAGAAAAACTTATGCATGAGCCTTAATTAGGCTACCAACGAACTGTTGGTCTAGTGATAAAAGAGTGTTAATAGAGACTTCGATCACTTGGATTTGATTATCGTTGGGAAAACTGTTTACATTGTTTGAATTTCTGGTTAAGATGTGAAATCATCTTTTTAGATAAAATACCTTAATTAGCCTATGCAAAGTTAATTATTTTAACCCAGATCGACTCTTGAATTTATGTCATTACATCGAATGTGAAAAAGATAATAATAACAACAAACGGGTCCATACGTTTACACATGTAACTTGTATATTTATAACGTAATATAAAAAAAATCAAAAAATTGACAAAATAATATCATGACCCGTCCCTTTTTATGGTTGCCCCGTTAGTGTATTTGCATGCTTGGCCGTTGGTAATCCCATGCGCCACTTAGCCTCCAAAGTCTTCTCTGTAATCTCCATTCTAAAACATAATCTCTGTTTTGTTTATACTTAATTGCGCTTTATCTTCTTAATTGTCCTGTAATCCATAAAAATCTTTGAGATGTTTACTTTCGAAGTTTAATGAATATATTTTCTTCTAATTAATACAAGTCAACAATATGCTCATAGATATATGTTTATAGCTACCCACGGGATTCTCATTCTCCGTTTTCTTATATAATTACACTAACGTTTTGACGTTGATTTAAGAAAATCGAAGTCAAGATTAGTACCCCTTTCTGTAATATACAGCCACCGATGATGCCATTTTGTCTTTCATTCATCAACGCCTAAGATCTTGACCCAAGATATATTATCGAGTTTACGTGTTGCTTTTTTTGTCTTTTAATGTAGTCGCATCATATAGTATGAACGAGAAGTTCGTCGCCATATATACTTATATATGGAATATAACTATCTACCTATGTAATATTGTTGTTTTTATATACAACTTATTGTGCATATTGCAAATGTTGATTTTTGCTGTATCCACGAACCACGATTGACCCTGTATAAATATATTATTCAGTATGTATATAAAATGCCAGATAAATAGTAAGTTTCTTGTTTCAACAAAAAGTTAAAGTAAGTTTATTATATGATTTTTCTTATTAGTTATCTATATATTACCGGAATGTTTTCTTAGTTAAATAGCTCGTGAGTGAGATCACTGTCTTGCAAGAAAGTAGGGACTAATGAAGCAAAACAAAGCATAACATTGTAATACAATTAATGAGACCACTTTTTTTTGTAGCTTCAAGCTAGGGAAGGTTTATCTCAGCTCAAAAGTTCCGGTAAGCAAGACC